CTGTGCGGGAGCCAGGGCGGCTGGAACGCAGCCCGCTGCTCTGCTCCACATCACTACATGCGTATGTGAGTATGGACGTAAGAATGTACCATGAAGCACATGTAGAGGTCACAGGATAACCTTGGATATCAGTCTTCACATCCCCCACACCCTCTTTGCTTTTTTATTTTGAGACAAGGCCTCCTTTTTGCTGTTCTCTTCTGCCATGACAGGCTGGTTGGCCAGTGAACTCCAAGGCTTCTCCCGCCTTTGCCTCCCATCTGCCCTAGGAGTTCCTGGATTACAGAAACATAACACCAGGCCCAACTTGTAAGTGTGTGCGTGTGTATGTACATGTGGTGCAAGCATTGTATGGGCAACTCCTACTTTTAAAATGTCATTTCAGAGCTTGGTAGAAGCCATCCCTGTAAGGCTAAACGAAACAGGTCCAATGGCCAAGTTCAATCTTGAGGTACCCCTTGTCTTGCACCTCTGATTTATACCTATGCTCCTGGCCCTGAGTTGAGTTGAACATATAGGCAATTCTTCTTCATGTCCCTTCAAAACATGTCCCTTAATGGCTACTGATTCCATGCTTCTTGACACTGCCGAGATTTCCCAGAGTTCTCCACACACCTTCATGTGTGGACATGATAAATAACTCTTCTAACAACAAAAAGTTAACAAGGCCTTGCACTAATTCAACAGGGTCACCATCTGGGAGCTGTCAGTGCCGTAAACACTGAGGCTTCATAGAAGACACTGACTCTTTCTAAACTAATCAGTGCGGCCAGTCAAGATTTGCAGCAGAGATTCGAGAATGAGACATCCATTTCACAACAATAACAAAAACAGTGAGGACGAAAACCGTACAGTCATAATAACAAGGGGCCTAAAAGCAAACTGTGACTTCCCTAATAAGGCAGAGACCCAAGTTGGCTCCCTGGCGGTCAAGCGCCAATACAATTAATCAGTCTGTTTCCAGTTTTCTCACGACAGCAATATTAACAGTTTGCTTTACTCTGTTTATATGGTGCTGACAGGTCTTCGGCATGTTGGGCCTACTTGCTGGTGATTAATGACCACTCTCATTCTGAAGTAAAACCAGGGAGGAAGAGAATGCCTCTTATGACCAGTTAGGCCCAGAAGCCTCCCTCCGCTGTCTTGTTGGTGTTTCCCTGCCCTGAGATGCTCTGTCTTCTGCTCAGAAAGAACCCTAAAATGCACATCATGAGAGTGAGCTTGGCATGCATCTCGAAAGGGATGGTTGGCTCATTTTGTTCCTAAAAATCTCATTTCTGTAGACAGAAATGAAAGAGCAGGTGTGAAATGGTTCTGGAAATGAGAATTTTAGCTTATTAAGTAGGTAACAATCCCCTCTCATATTTACAGCTATATTTACAGACAAAGAAGCAGCAGAGTTGAAATTATTCCTGACTGCTGTAGGAAGCATTGTTAGAGGAAGTCTGAGAGATTATTGCATTAAACAGTCATAGTTACTGAACTATGAGGTCAAAAGAGTTGAAATAATATAAGAGGACCCACCGTGTCCAAATACTTCCCCTTATAAAAGGAAAGCTGTATGAGTACTACTCATCACTAATGTACTGATCTTTTTTCTTTACTTTGTGCGCATGCGTGTTTGTGTACACACATGCTTGTGCCACGGGATGCATGTGCAAGCCTAAGGATCTTTCCTTTACCACGTGGGTTCTGGGGATTGAACTCAGGTCATCAGACTTGGAAGCAAGTGCCTTTACCCACTTGATCACCCTTCGTTTTCTGTTTGTTTGTTTAGACAGGGTCTTCAACACAGCCCTGGCTGAACTCACCATCTCGATGTAGCACAGAATGGCTTTGACTACTCTTCCTGCCCCAGCGTCATAAATGTAGGATCACAAGTATGTGCCACCACACCCAGTCACCAAACATTATTTTATTTATTTTTACTGCACTTTATATTATTGTGACAGGATCTCTAGTAGCCCAGACCAGCCTTGAATATACTATATAGCCAAGATAACCTCGAACTCCTGATCCTCTTACTTCTAATACCTAAGTCCAGGGATTCAGGTATGCACTATCCCCAACATTGTCTTATCAGTACCTAAGTGTAGGGGACTTAACAACATGAAAATTAAACAAAACAGAATGCTTTTTGTGAGGTTTGCTAGGAAACACTATCTCAGTGCTTGCTCTCAGAGTTGATCTGCCACACTCAGACCCTGGCAGCTTTCAAGCCTACTTCCCTGCGTGCATGCTTTCCTACCCATACAGCAACAGAACTGATCAGTCAGGCAGACAGGCAGAGAGGACCTCAGGAGTCTTCTCAGTGGAACACTAAGGTTAGATGCAAGAACAATCTGATATGAAAGCGCTGTTAGCAACAATAATCCTGTATACTGAGCGCCTACCATGCACCAGCACTGCTGGAAATGCTTCGGTTATGCAAACGTGCTTCCTTCCCACAACTGTGACTGTACTGAGGAAAACAATACTCTTTGTTCCAAGTACAGACTATGAGAGAAAGTTGAACAACATACTTGGCTACATCTGGGCAGACTCTGACCCCATATGTAACTTTAATAATGCACCTAATGTAAAGGTTTGACTAGAGAGGGGAGAAGTGATATTAGCTAGACTAGTTATAAAGGTCTTGCAACCATTCTGGGAGAGGATAATTTAGCAGTTATCTCAGAAGCTGAAGTAGACATTTTTTAATGTAGCAAAATTGGACTTTATCAAGAAAAGGTTTCAAAAATAGACGTAAGCAGAAAAGGGGAGGAAGGAGAAAGACTTACCTAAGTGAACTATACTATATACCCTAGAGTAGCCTGACCTTCCAGAGAGAGCTGCCCGACTAAATATTCTGACTCCTTGGATCAGTTATTTCTCTAATGTATTCATTCAAACTCTGTAGGTCTGGATGGATGGGTTGGTTAGACATCTTGATAAGAGATCAATAGGGAAACAAGAAAAACTAATTGTAAGATCTCTTCCTTACACTTAGTAGATGACTGGTCTCACTCACTGTTCAGTGTCTCAAGTGACATTTAATACCCATCTGTGCTTCTCTTCCTTCCCAGCCGGTCCGTCTAGCCACTCGGAACTATACGTGTTGCTTTATGTAACGGCTGTGAGCAAGCCCAGAAGAAATAAATGAGTGGAAAGGAAAGGAGGGTTGCTGTCTTCATTCTCATGGTTTGGGAATAGCTTCTCAAGGCCTTTTTCCTAAACCCGCACCTCTCCCTTGGTGGTCTGGCTATAAGGCATAGCACCCTGTGGCAAACCACTGGACTGCTGGAGTGGAGGCTATCAGTCATCCATAAGAGAAGGAGCCTTTTATTTAATTTGCAAATGCATGCCCTATTTGGGCTACTTCAACCAAAGCTAAACATTATACTGGAAAGGTATCTAGTAGGATTCCCATGTGCATGTTCATTATCATCCACAAATACAGCCGCAAGAAACATAAGCTCTGAGCAAAGCCAAAAAGTACTGAGGTATCAAATAAGAATATTTTGAGGACTAAAAAAAAAAAAAAATCTTGATTCTAATTCAGTTGCTAAATGAATTGAAGACAGAGAATTCTACTGTCTTCCAAAGCAAGTCCTGAGACTTTTTCTTTTAGGTATATTTATATTTATTTCATGAGTATGGGTGTTTTGTCTACATACATGTTCAAAGCTTTTAAAATTAAGATCTGTCTAGATTATATGAAAATAAGTAATGTGGGCTGTCCGTCCATATATGCTTTGCTTTTCCTGGTTGATGAATAAAGCTGTTTGGGCCAGTGGTTGAGCAGAGTAAAGCCAAGCAGGAAATCAGAACACAAATACAGAAGAGAGTAGGCGGAGTCAGGGAGATGCCATGTAGCCACTGAAGAAGACAGACACCAGATGGAACCTTACCTGTTCCACAGCCAAACGGCAATACACAGATTAATAGAAATGAGTTAATTTAAAATGTAAGAGTTACTTATTAGTTTCTGTGTGATTGTTTTGGGTCTGGGAAGCCAGGAAATAAATGAGCAGCCTCCATCTACAAGTAAGTGTCTATTATTTTCTGGAAAACAGCTATGTAACTGAATGAGCAGTGTCTCGCTCCATGGCGGCTGCCTTCACGTTATTATATCATAAGAGCTCATCTGGAGAGCATGCCCCTTTCACTGTCTACACTGAGTTCTTTCTGGAATGTCTTCTTCAGGACTATGGTCCTGTCAGTTTCTTTGGATCTAGTTGAATCTCAAATTGCAAACCTATCATTTTGATTCTTCCCAAAGACTACCAAAAACATTTACTATGACTAATGTATGTGGCTTATCATCTCTATGAAAACGAAAACAATCAAAAGGTATTTTAATGACTTATGCATGACACCAACAATTATGTCAAGTATAAACTGGTTCATATTTGGCAAGGGTGAGAGTTTAAATGCTCATAAAATACAACTGTAAAAGAAGAGATTTTATGAGACTAAGCACATTTTAACTTCATTTTAAATATGCAAGTTTGGCTTGGCCTTGTGTGTTCTATGACCCATGAGCTGACTCAGTTACAGAAAGAAGAGCAGCCCGTACCAAGTGCAAGGTGAAGGGCAGAAGCCTAGGACATGCACTGTAATACCAAGCTTTTCTGCCTACGGCAGTTACAAAGTTTGTATATTTGGTTTTGTACAGAAATATTAAAGGGGCTTTTAGTTGTGAAATATTTCAAACCTGCTCATGCTTACTGACGGTAAGTGGTAATAAAGCCTAGGAAAGCTCTGGGACCGGTCTGTATGACTGTGGAAGCACCCTTACATTAGCATCCTGGCAGGGAAGTTCTACTGCTCTGGGTACTCATTCATGGGTTCAAAGCCTTGAGCTAGGTTGAGAAGTGATGTTCGTTTTAGCTTGGATCAACTGACTGAGGTGCTCCCAGGAGAAAGTGAAATGAGTCGGGCAGGAGGTGGGAGAGGGAGACACTCAGACCCGGGCAAGCAGGATAAACAAGCGGCATGGGCTGGCATCTGTGACTTACCTGCGCCGCAGATCCTCCGCCACTGCGGCCCTGCAACTGAACAAATATGCTCGGAGTGATTTCAGCTGTTGCCGCAGCCGCACCACCGTGGCCAGCGGCTCTGCGTGGAGGTACAGCATGGGATTCTCCTGCTGGATGTCGATCAGCGGCTCTTCATACACATACTCCAGAAACTCCTTGGCCTGCTTGGACACCTGCAAAACAAACGCTGGTCATCAGTGCTGGTGAATCCCCCAGCTTTCCATAGCTGCCTGCTCTGCCCGGGAACCGCACCTTGGTGGCAAGGTAGTAGCGTTTCTGCAGACGTCTAGGTGAAGAGCAGCTTCTCTTTTCACCTTCCAGAAGCTCAGCTGGCAAATGTGGAAGGAATTCATGAACTCAGCTCAACTGTGCTGGTAATCACATGAGCCCATACCTGAGAGCGCACAGAACTACACAGATCCCCCACACCTGTGTCATAGCTCTGCTTTATAAATCCTACTGCAGTCACCTAAGATGTGACCACAGGAGAAAACTAGGTGAAAGGTACTTAAAAATATGTTCAGTTTCCTGTGAATCTGTAATCATTTCGAGCAATGTGGGAAAAGAACTCATAGTTCTTAAAAACTACATAAATATATATGCATGTATATATAGTCTGTGATACTTTAAAAAAGTATTTTCTTAAAACAGAAGAACTACACACATTGTGAAATACTAAAACAAAGAAACTGGTGTTCTCAAGAAAAGAAAAAAAAAGAAGGGGGGAGAATAAAAATTATGAGGAAACCAAACAGCGAAAAAGAAATGGCCCAAAGAGAAGACGCCCTTAGCGGAATCCCCGTGAGTGTGGGCAGACTGCTGCCAACATCCATCCCACCCTATAATCCTTGAATGTTCTTTAAAACAGCATTGTTCTAAGTGGAGGTAAATAGTACACTGGAAATACAGTGGAGCAGAGAGAGAGACCTAACTAACGTGGCAAACTGTCACATGTGTGCAGTGGAGAGAGAGATAACTGATGTGCACACTGTCACATGTGTGCAGTGGAGAGAGAGAAAACTAATGTGCACACTGTCACATGTGTGCAGTGGAGAGAGAGAGAACTAATGTGCACACTGTCACATGTGTGCAGTGGAGAGAGATAACTAATGTGCACACTGTCACATGTGTGCAGTGGAGAGAGATAACTAATGTGCACACTGTCACATGTGTGCAGTGGAGAGAGAGAGAACTAATGTGCACACTGTCACATGTGTGCAGTGGAGAGAGAGAGATAACTAATGTGCACACTGTCACATGTGTGCAGTGGAGTGAGATAACTAATGTGCACACTGTCACATGTGTGCAGTGGAGAGAGAGATAACTAATGTGCACACTGTCACATGTGTGCAGTGGAGAGAGATAACTAATGTGCACACTGTCACATGTGTGCAGTGGAGAGAGATAACTAATGTGCACACTGTCACATGTGTGCAGTGGAGAGAGAGATAACTAATGTGCACACTGTCACATGTGTGCAGTAGAGAGAGAGATAACTAATGTGCACACTGTCACATGTGTGCAGTGGAGAGAGATAACTAATGTGCACACTGTCACATGTGTGCAGTGGAGAGAGAGAGAACTAATGTGCACACTGTCACATGTGTGCAGTAGAGAGAGAGATAACTAATGTGCACACTGTCACATGTGTGCAGTGGAGAGAGATAACTAATGTGCACACTGTCACATGTGTGCAGTGGAGAGAGAGAGAACTAATGTGCACACTGTCACATGTGTGCAGTGGAGAGAGATAACTAATGTTGCATACTTTCACATGTGGGTAACTGGACTCTCCAAACCAGTCTGCTGACACTCGGGTGGGAACTGCTGGTGATACACAGAGTAGGCTGAGCCTTTGCTCATGGAAGGTAAACCTCTCCAGAAGTTCCCACTAACCCTCTCCAGAAGCAAGGCTAGGACTGAGCACTAAAATAAGCAACTCTGTTCATTTAAAAGAGAACTGACAATTCATTAGGCTTTACAGTTCACAGCAGCAGCTCACATGCAATCTGCCATCAGTAGAGCCACGGGGCTCACGGGAGGCTTAACGCAGAGGACTCGGCTCTCCTGGGAACAGGAGCTTCGGCCTGGTGAGGCACGTTGCACTGGATCTAGCTCTGGAATTACAGGTGGAAACACAGACGGACAGAGCAGGGAAGCACAAGGAGGACAACACAAAATCACCAGGTCCCCAGTGTACAATATGGAAGTGTGATTCCCAGACGTGAGGCTGTAAAACACTAATTAAACATATGCTACTCACACACAAACACGAGGTTCAGCATCACCACCTTCTTAAAGTGGAAAGCTCACAACTAAGTTTATATTTCCTACAGGGCTAGAAAAGTGCACTACGTGTGTGTGTGTGTGTGTGTGTGTGTGTGTGTGTGTGTGTGTGTGTGTGTGTTTCTAAGTGATTATTTATAAGATATACAGTCTGACCCCATGAGATCCTGCAGAGAGTGGCAAAGTTAAGGATCTTAATAGACTGAAAATCCAGGTTACAAAACAGCCCCCAGAATCAGTCAAGAGCTTTAACTGATTTACCAGGTCAGGAACAACAAGGTACCACAGTGTAGGGGCCTCCACTCTCTCAGCTGTGAGGCAAAGACAGCACAGCAGGCCAGGCCTTCAATGACAACAAAGCAGCCCCGCCTGCCCCCAGGCACCTCCCAGCCCCAGCTCTGTGCAGAAAGACAAAACTGAGTTGTATTGACTGTGTTTAAATATCTGCGGCACTTAAATATCATCAAATGAGGAAAATGCCTGCCGGTGTTCAGGGAAGTGAAGGACAATCCACTTGAAACTGCTGCTAGAAAATGATGTATTGTACAATTCAATTAGTCTTTCTGGGTATAGAGAAGACTGTTTATACCGAGCCAGGGCCCCGCTGTGTCAGGTTAACAATGCTACCTTTTAGTAGGAACAGAAGGACAAAGGGCACTGGACAGTCTCCAGGCTTTAGGCTTCTCTCTTCAGGTGCTACTTAAGCCCAAAAGCAAAAGCGGGGAAATCTCTTATAGAGACAGTAAAAGCAGGGGGATGAACAGGACAGCAGCTACTGATAGCAGTGTTCATAAACTGAAATGACAAAAGAAGAGAAACAGAGCTGGCTTCCGAGCCGTCCACGGAGCTGCCTCCTAGTTATTAACTAGCCTTCCTCCCATGGAGGGCATCTGACAGTGGCTGCCTGGCTGTGTGAACCCATCTCCGTGGCTGCAGCCATTTTTGGCGACAAGGCTGAGCTTATGGTCTAGGTCTTCAGAGTCCAGATTCCACTGATTCCACTCCATTCACAAAAACTGGTGAGGTAGTTTTTAGGAAAATTTGCAATTTGGTACGAAATAAATGCTAGTTTTGCAAAACAGAGCTTTATAATTAATCCCTGTATGATTCCTTGAGCTTTCAAAGTTTTCCTCCTTATATTAGCAAGATGATTTAACACTCAAGCTCCACTATCATTAAAAAGCATTTTCCAAAAAGGAAGACTTTGAAATGAATTTTAGCCTAAGGAAGAAAGTATGCTCTTGCTAACCTACGGAAGAAGCCAATGGCATTCTTAGGTGAGAGTTCTTTCTTGTTAGTCTACACATGACACAAATCACATGGTAACACCAGGCATGTCCCAACAAATAGCTGAGCTACTATGCTTCAGGCAAGCCAAATTATGAAAGGCAAAAATGCCAAAGTGATGTGGGACGTCAGATGATGTGGGAAGTCCTTCTATATATGTGTTGCTCTTATTGGTAAATGAATAAAGGTTTTCTTTGGACTATGGCAGGGCAGAAAGTAACTAGGCTGGAAGAGACATAGAGAGAGTAGACAGAGTCAAGGAGATGCCATGTAGCTGCTGAAGGAACTTTACCTGGTAAGCCACAGCCTCGAAGCTAAACACAGAATAAAAGAAATGGGTTAATTGAAGATATAAGAGTTAGCTAGGAAAATGCCTGAACTATTGGTCAAACAGGGTTGGAATATATTTATAGTTTCTGTGTGATTATCTGGATCTGGGCAGCAGGGAAATGAAAGAGCACTCTCCACCTACAAAATAATACCCACATATTTGGGGCTAACACTCATGGCCGCCACCCACTTCAGGTGTGGATACTTGTACGCCCGCTCGAGGTTAAGAGGAAAGCAGCTGAGAGCATGCCAGCAGTTCCCCACTCCCTGCCTGGGCAACTGGCCTGATCAGGTCTGCTAGGTGTGCACAGGTAGGAGAACAGAAGATTCTCACTGCTATACACAGAGACATTTTCAGGCTGCACGACATGCTGCATGGCAGATTTAGCTTTTGCTCAGAAAAATAATAAAAAGGTTTCTGTGCTGCATGGTGCTCCTGAGAGTTGAGGTGGCTCCCACCCACCAGTCCCGGAGCTGGCAGTAAGTATTCCTCTGCCATGTTGAAGGCTGAGAGAGCCAGGTGGAGCCAGACACCAAAACCAAAGCTTTACTCCTAGCCATATCGCTAAACAGATTAAAGACTTGTGCTCAGAAAAAGATATACAGTGAAGACAGATTCAGATAACAAAAAAAAACCCTCTAAATTGTTTACAGTGTGTTTAAAAATGTACATAGGCTTGGGAGAGAAAAGAAAAAGAATATAGACATGTATAAAAAGAAATCATAGCTTTAAAAATACAACAGAGTCTTTAAAGAGATTATAAAAGTAATATAAAAGAGTACAGACAGACACAAATTAAAGGAGTAAAAGCAATAGAGAAATAAGCCATGTAAAGATGGAAAATACGCAAAGAGTCTGGATTATGCATATTTTTGGGTTTTATTTGTTTTTTTTAATTGCAGAAAGACATTTGATTTTTGGGGCTGCTAAGTTGAACCAACATAAAGGTATCTTGACTTCAAAGTTTAGGTCTAAGGATATGTTGCTTTGGAAAAGAGGTTTTGCTTTTGTTTCCACAGAAGATGAGAACCTGTGGATTCCTTCCAGGCTAATGTGATTTGATAGAACAAGAGCCCCAGAAAGATATCCGTGAACCCTAAAAATACTTTGCCCAACAAACAGCAGGAAGCAGTATGGAGAAAACAACGCCCAAATCCCCAAAATGACTGTATATAAATGTTTGTTTTCATTTAACGAGGGCTATGATATAGAAATGAATACTTTACATCGGTACAGACTTTGGTCTATTGATACAAATTTAAGATCGAT